CGCCTGGACCGGGATCGTCACACGGAATGGTCGCCATGACGAATTGATGAATGCTACACTACCACGGTCCGTCTCCCAGTACCGTTGAGTCGGCATGCAGCATTGATCAGAAGATGCCGATGCGATGTGAAAAAGAAAAGACCCTTAAGAGGAAAAGACAATTTCCCACGGGTGCTTGTCTAATCAATGTTAAGGGTAGAGGATGAAGCTTAGACTTCCTAATAGTGAGTAGAGTGGCAAAGGCTTCTCGCTGACGAACACATTGGGGGAAGATGGATCACTGATCGTTTTGAATTTCTGACTGCAGTTGAAATGGAAAATGGGAACATGTTTGTTCTTGCAAAGTCACCAGGGGGATTTGAACTCAAACATAGAGGCAATAGTTAGAATTGTTATAAATGAAAAGGAACATGTAATTTGAGCCACAACTGAAATCGGAGTTTAGGGAATGTGCATGATTTGTCAGTGAAATTCCTTCGGATACCTCAAAAGGGTAAGACATACAAAAATGCCAGAAACTATTGAGATTACCCCCAATTCCACATCTCAATTCCTTCTCTAGATCCCTATCAAGTAAGTCGGCCACCCTACTGGGAGAAGTATTGGAGGATTCAGGAGAAACCCACAGAGGGTTGAATCGTCGGCATATATGTACATAGCGGTACCTTTTCCAATATTGGGTGTTTGCAACCCTCTGAAAAAGAATTTCAATTTGTGCACAAATGAAATCACCCTGCGAGAGTACAGTTACTTTTGGGCTGCAATTTATTCCATTTTTGCAAAGAAATATTAAATAACTAAAGGTCTGTGAATTTTTTTTTTTTGGTCTCTCATTCAAATGTGAATTAACTTTGATATTGCTAGGAAATAGCAATTGAATAAATGAGTCTATTTTGGGGGGCAATGGTGGGGGGGGGGGGACTAATCAGGAATATCATCTATGCACTATCAAACTAATGACAGCCATAAAGTGTGAGGATGACATGTTCTTCCCTCCCTATGACAAGATTTCCACTAATGTACAACACGATACTGAACTACATGACTATATCTACGGTAGCTGGTCGATGTCTCTGCCAACTTTAAAGTAAATCAGATTCATCAAAGTGCCCAAAGTGCCGGTAAGAAAAAAAAACGTGTACAAATGATATGGACAGGAGTCTGAAAAAGAAGAAAAACAAGCTCGAAATGATCGCGGAAGTTGCGGGCCAACAAATATGTGTTGATCAATGCACGACTGGCATGATTGTGCCTTATAATTTCTGGAAGGAGTAGTGTTTTGAGTACAAACATCAGGTTTTGACCCTAGTGACCCTTTTTTCAGGACTGCATTAAATTGGTAGGCTGTCAGTGGAGACTCATTAAAGTGCCACAAAAGAGGGCCCGGGCCTGAGAGACGCATTGATATACTGTACATTGTACACCCATTGCCAGGGCCTGAGGAACGAGGTGATTACGTTTGTTACTAACTAACTAACTAACAGGGAGACACGACGAATTGTTGAGCTGCCATCCGCAGCTAAAAACTAGACAAGATTTACACACAGCATTTTGTAATAACATGGAGACAGAACAATGCAGCTTCGGTGGCCTTGACTTTCAGTGTGTATTTTTAACCAAGTGTTTGCAGGTGGAGACCAAAGAGGCAGCTGGATTTGATTGTGCAAAGGCATATTTTAGGAAATTACTATGGACAAACCTTGGTGTGCATATCACTCATGGAACATGCATGCGATCAAACACATTTCGATCTGCAGCTGTCAAACAATAACATGTATAAACTGACCATAGAAAGGCTACAGTTTCCTGTAGCAAACCTGTATTTGAAGTTGGTATTGTATATAACGTGATATTTTATTTATTTATTTAATACACTTCTCCACTGGCTGATATAAAAAAATATTACAAGATATACAGAATCACAGGTTAAAATTTACAATTTCAATAAATTAAGAATACGGATTAAACCAGCGAGTGGCAAGATGGAACAGGTGACTAGCACCTCTACAGAACCGTCCTACCACAGGAAAACCAGATCCTATTAAATATATGGATAATCAAGTTGCCCTTGTTTATTCTCAGTCCCATTAATTCTAACAAACTCGATCCATCAAACCCCCAACAGCATGTTTTGTTGGAATCTGTCAGGATGGGTACAGTACCCCTAAGGCCAAAAAAAAAATGTCTCCGGTTTCTGGTATGCGCGCGCGTCGTCGTAGCCATGCGCGTCGGCAAAATGAAAAAGTTTTTTTTTCAATGAATGATGAAGTCTCAAAACCGCCAAACTCACTGGAATCCTGCTGCTGCACAATTTTAACGTGTTTTTAGATTGGGTTATGGTCGAGAATAAGCTTTATGTGGCCTCTCTGGACTCCCATATATTTGCACTAAGCTTAGTTGGGCACCATTTGCAGTCATCAGCCGACATTTGAAGCAAAAAAATCAGGTACAAAAAAAAAAAAAAAGCCGCGTCGCCGCACCACTTTTTGGGCAAGCTCCATACCAGAAACCGGAGACTTTTTTGGGGGGGCCTAAACTGACAGTTTTTTTGCATTGGGTTGGCACACCTCCAGAATCAAAGTCAAAAATATTTGTGTGCAGTTTTCCATATGGTGTTGGAATTTGCCAGGATGGCTCCTAGTAAATCATGCTAGGGAGATAAACTTTAATAGGGTTAATGAATTGAGCAGTTTCAAAAGGCACTTTTGAGCAGACTCAGGTTCGATCGAGCACAGGTTGTTAAGGTATACATGTACTGTTGACACTTGTACCAGTTTGTACACACTCATATTTAAAAAAAAATTTGACACGGTTAGCCTCTCAACCCTGGTCCCGACCAGGGTTGACTTTTAACCCAAAAGAGTACGGAACCTGTGTACAAGCCGTGTTCGATTCTTGCGAGTGTGAAAGAGGGTGCCAACATCTCAAAGTTCAACTCGGGTCAAACATGGATATTTTTGATTGCGAACGGGCCTAGCCCTAACCCTGCTGAATCCAACAGGATCCAACTATGTCACATACCAGATGGAGCCTGTTGGATTGAGCATTCCTCATGCAAAATGTTGGACTCAGCAGGCAACTGAACCGCATTATAACGCCATGTTGGACTCCGTTGGATTCAGCAGACAACTGAGAATGAGGCACAGTGGATTGAGCAGGAAAGTCCGGTTGGACTCGGTTGGATTGAGCAGGGTAGTCCTGAGGAAGTACGAGGGGGTTAGGGTTCTAATGTACCCTGTAGAATATTTCTACAATGTGACTTGATATGGAAGCTGTATATAAATATGCACGGTCTGCACAGGGGTAGTAGAATGTGTACACATGGTACACAGTGTTGAGGGTCTAGACAAATATGCAGTGGCCCCTCACCATACATGAAATATGACAATGTTAACATTCATTAAGCTCCACTGTGTTTGCATACAGTCACATGATACATGACAAATATGTTGAAGTCGTCTAAGGCGACGTAGTAAACACATGTAAAGTTCTTCCCTCATGAATTGCGAGTGTGTTTGACATTTTGCAACCAGGTCTCTGTTGGCTGTTTCTTCCCCCCTCCTTTGAGAAATCCATGTTTATTGTGACAGAACCAGACCGTAACATTTGTTGCAATAAGACCCCCTCAGTGGAGGGAAAGTCAACCCAGTTCACCTATATTTCACTTCCAAGACAAATAATCCACACATGGTAGTGATGATTGTAAGTACCAGTGTTGTGTACCGCCGTCTTTCCTGTATGTGTACAACATATTGCCAATGGCAGAAACAAAAACATGTACTATGTGACTATGTCACTCAACCGCCTCGGGGTGCGATCAGGGGTCACTGGAGGTCAGCGGAGATCATTCAACAATGTCAGTTTGGCTGGCAAGCAGAAGAATTCCAGCAGCCAGACAGAAACGAAATCCATACGTTTGAATTGTTGGCTCGGGATTCTGTGTGTTCCTTAGCGGGCCCACGCATTCTTGTACCAGTTCAAATACCAGCGCAAGATCAGAAACTGTGGATACCGAGAAAGAACGATGAAATTACATACATTGGCAGTGCATCAATTTCGAGGAGCAGTTGTTTGTTTGAAGCTGTATTCAATAATAAAGAATGTTAACACAGAATCGCTTCCTCTTCCAATTTTAATGGATTTGATGAAGTCTTTAGTTAAAAAAAATCTCCTAATGTAAAATTTACAAAAACACTTCTTGTTTCACTTTTGCGTATTTGTTTTGATGACATCATTGATATTTCAAAATAATTGCATCCCCCCTCAAAAAAGTGTATCACTTTGATTCTTTTATGCTCTAAAAATGTTTCAAGAAAGTGTACTTTTCTAAAATCACGATTTTGAAACTGAGTGCATGGATCACAAGCCAACATTACCCGTCTTGAGTAAAAAAACTTTCAACGCAGTCTTATACCCTGTGTCAAATTTTCATGCAGGAAGTTGGATGATTACACCAACTTTTACATTGCATTAATACACAAGTACTGGTATGTACAGGTGCTTTTATGGTGGATTTAAGGTCAGACCATTGTTTTTCTAATGGATTGCAACAGCTCTCAACTGAGGACAGTTTTGCAAACTGAGGACAGTTTTGCACATCGGGAACCCGTTTTCCTGTTATGTTCTCTGTACTTATTTTAAAGTGCACATTGGCTAAAAAGAAAATAGTTGAAAAGATCTTAAAAAAGAGTAGAAAAAAGAGTTTGCTATTTCCCAGGTTTTAGCTTTGCTAATGTTGCTAGTATCGTGTCTTTGGGCGTGATCCCTGGCTATCCTGTCTATGGCCACCTGGCCATACTGGTCTATGGCTTCTGAACAAAGACTTTGACAAACTGGAGAACTGCCAACATACCCCGGTAGGGCTTAGTTGGTAGAGCTTCAATACAGTTTTCTGGAGGTCGTAGGTGCAAACCTCGCTCCAGTCATAAATAAAAAAAGGAACTGTGCTTTGTATCAGTATGAATTAACCAAAGTGTGATATCTGTCTTTCTCTCCCACAGCCAAAAGAAGCAGCCAAGCGCTTTAAATTCATAGTCGAGGATCCTGGGAAGGACAAACTCGTCGTCGGGGATGCTGGGAAGGTTGTCGGTTCGAACGGCATAAACCAGCATGGCCAGCCCAGCGAGCTGGACAAATCTTGGCAGAACTTTGACCAGAAGGCCTACATCGCCAAGACCCTGGTCAAGAAAGGGGAGGACGCCTACGCCAGGAACAAGTTCAACCAGAAGGAGAGCGACAAACTCAAGATGGACAGGGACATCCCGGACACCAGACATGCACAGTGAGTATATGGCTCAGCCTCTTGTGTTCAGCTGCTTTCATTTTAGAGCGAAGTTCGGCGAGGACATCAGTTGCATAGTGGCCTAACTTATGCCCCTGCACTAATACAATTTGCAAACATCTAGTCAAACGCTGGTCAAAATGTCGTCGCAAAACTTCTTGATCCTGGCTCCCTGCTGTGTATTACGATACGCACGGCTTTTGGTAACCAGCGATGGAACCGTGCCCTGTGATCCGGTTCCAAATAGTCCAGTTCCAAGTAGTCCAACCGTCCTGTGTTAGAGTGTAGTTAGCCGAACTATAGTGAACCATAGTTCTTGCCCTAACTTGCTCCTAGATTTAATCTTGGATTTTGTTTTAACAGGAACATGTGTTTGTGGAACTGTTGCTGTAACAGTCGCAACCTTGATAAGTTGGGCAATTTCAGGCTCTACAACGATCAGGATAAGTCAGTAAAATCGTCGATTTTAAGCTTGTCTTTAAGCTTGTATGCCGTAACTTACGCCACCATAAATGACTGCGTAAGTTATGCCATAATTTGCTGCATAAGTCACAGACTTGTGAACTGCAAAGCATTCATGTAATGTGTCATACATGTACATGAAATTGTTCATGACATAGAATGTTGCAGAATTTATGCAATTAAATGTAATTATGATAATAATGGGTGTTGTTTATATAGCGCATTCCACCAAAGCTACATGTAGGTCTCAAAGCGCTTCACCGTTATTACCCCTGCTCATCAGGCCATGAGACCACTTCTCTGCAGCCGAGATCAGCGCACTCTGGTCTCTACCCTCACGGGTACCCATTTATACACCGTAACCACTTGACCACGGCGCCCCATGACGTTACGCATTTACCTAAAGAACACTTCTCATGAAATCTGCTTCTTGTCTCCAGTCTTGTTCATGTTTTAAATGTGTTTTTTTTATCATTGACCTGTGATCTTTTCTGAACTTTAATAGTCTAATTTCACATGCTGGGCTGGACATTGTGATAAATGCTGTACTTTAACCCCAACTCCCTAGGGTGATTTACAAGGAACCTTCCTCATCCTTGCAAATCCCAACACCATATGGTAAACTGCGGACATACACAGTTGGACTCTATTTTTGTGTGGTATGCCTATTCCCATGTAAAGCAGTCAGTTTACTAGTGCAGTACTCATCCTAACAGATCCCAACAAACCCTGGTGTTGGAGTTTGGCTGGTTGGGGACCGTTAGGGTTAATGGCTGATGTTCACCAACAGGTTTCACCTTCATCACTCCTGCACCCGATATCATGAAACTTGTCATACCGTAACTTACAATGCACTGCTGCGATGCGCCCTGCGAACCATTTCACAAAGAAGCGTTACACGTTGCACAAGTCATAAAAAGTGCTTCACAAAATTATGACCCCTATCCATCTGACCAGTTTTCTGCAGCAGCTTAAGATCAGCGCAGTGCAGATTTAACCCTCATACATGTACCTGTGCCCCTTTATACTCCTTGGTGGAGAGAAGCAATTGTAGTAAAGTGTCTTGCCCAAAAACACAAACACTGTCACGGTTTGAACCCACATGAGTTGCACATAAGTTGAACGCCGTAACACTTGGACCACAATACTGCACACAGATTACTAAACAAAACATCCAATTTTTTTTTGTCCTGATTCATTATTTCCTTTGATTTTTCAAATTCGCGTTTGAAAACTTACTAAATTCCAACCTCCCCCCCAAGAAAAAAACCTGATAAAACTAAAAACTTTCAAGGATTGATCTTATGAAGTACATGCACCCAAATTTCTCTCACCGCAAAGTACATGTGGCGTGTTACACATGACAAATTCATGAACTTTATGGATCACATATGGCTAGCTGTGCATTTAATGATATAATATGAACCATATGACTTCGTGGATTGACAGAGGCCATCTCAGGAAATGTTGATTTTGTTTTTACAATTGTTATCAGTTGTTTGCTGGGAGCAGATGCGCTGGTAGGTTTAGAGTGTTTCATTTTTACAACATGTCCATGTATGAGGTTCATTCCCACAAGCAAAAATACACTTTCCTTTTCAAATCGTTTTTCCATTTATCTTTACTGAACCCAGAAAATGCAGGAAACAAAACCAAGCGTGATGATCGAAAACATAAGAAAATCCAAATAAATTTTGTAATAAATTTTGTCCTCTCATGTTTCGTAAGCAAACAATTTGGAAAGACAGTACATGTAAGTTGATTGATATTAAAATGACTCAGCAATATATTCAGATGCATACATGTACATTTATGGCCTATTTACATACCTTTCCCCTTATTTTTAAGTTCCAGCCCTGAATATGTAAAAATTTTAATTTTTTTTTAAAGCGAAACACAAGAACAAATCACCATTATTTAGAAGTGTACTTTACAACTTTTCTTCAAATTATTTGCGGTTTACAATACGTCAGGAAGGAATTTTGGTGTATAGCTAAGCACAAAACAACCCACTATAATAAAAACATCCATTGTTTTCAGAGTATTTTAGATGCCCCCCCCCAAAAAAAAATCCCCAAAACCCCAAAACATTTGCTGGTCAAAGGTAAAACAAGTAAATCCATTTTGACAAAAAAATAATTAATTTCTCGATGAGCAGAGGAAGAAGAACTTTAATTTTCACTGGCAAATGCATCCATCCTCGTTTACAGTTTACCAGTCAATTTAAAAGCAAATCCAATTTGCATTGCATTCAGCAATCCAATATGAACAGCATGTTTCGTCGACGACAGAATGCATTCATGAGACACATGCTTCACATCTCGGGTAGCAATCAGCAACCCAAATGTCGCGGTGCGGGAAAAGTCAGATGGATGTCAACGGTGCTCCATCATTACTTCAACCAAGTATCGGTTCTTGATGGACAGTGATGCGTGCGGAGCGCGGTGGACTTATTTACTTGCACGAGACACACTTCAACTCTGCCGAGAAGCAGGCCATAGTGTGACCATTACCTTGACAATTGTTTGTCTTGTGTGCACTCTTTGTGTCGTGTTACGTACATGTACTTGCTCCTGCTTACTGCTTGTTCCGTTTATAAACACTGATAAATTTTTTTTTTTTTTTTAACTGAACTTTCTTAAAGGTAATATGTATAGCATTTGCAAACATCAAAACACAAAACTACCACATTAATAAAATACCTTACTTGACTGTAAGTGAATAATAGTCTCTAGCATCCGGTGAAATCATGGCACCTGGTGTGCTGTCATTTTCAAGAAAAGTAGAATTTTTGTATCTATTTCCAAGGATGGTACAAGCTGATGATTGATTGCGCACATATCGCATGCATTCCTTAAGTAGAGGCGCACATGCATTTTAGCAACACTATTAGTCAAACGAGCATTGAGTGAATACATGCACCTTCCACCTGCGTGCAAGTGTGTGTCAGTGTGTATCTATTGATCAGGGGTCCCCCCTCAGTAATGGCTGGTCGTCACATTAGTCTATTAGCAAACAAAGCAAACTACATGTACACATTTTAACCCACTACCAATACACTTTTAAAGGCATATTGGATCATTTGTACCTACCGGTACCGAATTATTAGCAAAAAGCTTACTTGGATTAATTAAAGATCGTACTGGTACTAAACACCCTGTAAAATTATTTTGTTTGGGTTTCTGCCATTTAAGAAAACAAATCAAGACATGTACAACGTAGGTGATTTCCAATGATTAGTCAATTGACTGATTTTTGGAAGTAAATAGTGCTATTGACGAAATCGTGTTTTGTGATCACAAGGTGCATGGTTTTTCACTGTTTTCTCCCCTGAGCTCTTCAACCCAGCTTAGGTTTTGGAAATTCTTCTTATTGGAAATGAATAAAATGCATGAAAAGCAAATGATCCTTTACGTAACTTGTCACAGAGGTTTCAGACCAGTGCGTCAGTAATATGCATACTGTCTGATACAAATTTATGCATGTAAAACCAAGTCAAAAGGCTTAACCTGTAGCGTCACCACCTGTTTCCATTAAATTAATGGTCTGTTAAATTTTATGCAACAGAATCACAAAGCAAATTTCATGCATATTTTTATTGGCTTGTGTAAAACAAAATCAGTAATAGGACCACATACATGCACAGAGGCACTTCACTGCTCTTTTTGTAGGGCCTATCGGTACATGTAGATTTTAAGATTGTAAAAATTCATGAACTGGTCACTTCCGTTGGTGTACTCTACAACAGACAGTAAACAAATTTAACCAAAAAGCAGCATTTATGCCGATATACTCCATAATGATGAGTGAAATTAATCTAAGTTTGGTTTTTACTAAATTTTCTAATTACACATTCAATTTGGTGTGAATGCGTTTGGCTTGCTTTTTGTTTTATTTGCCTGTTTTGTGTTGTTTTCATTTGATTTTGAATGAACAAAACACCGGTCAGATAAAACTTTGCATGGAATTTATCATTGGAGGGCAGATTTTTATTCCCCAAGCGATCCTATGCACTGTATACATTTAACACATGGAGTAGAACTGATACGGCAAACCAGTGAAATATACACGTATGTAGGACAACGGCGTATTGAAGTTTCTAGAGCTGGTTTTGAAACAGCACACTGTAAATTAGTCTCGTTGCAAGACGTTCTTAGCGAGGTAATTCACGGTAGACGGTACAGTCTTTGTACCGTGCGCAACATGTTCCTGGTCCCATAGTGCCATTCACGAACCTGACTCGGTAGACAAACCGCACTCAAAGAACGTCTTGGGAATCTTGCATTACAACAGTGCGTGACTTAATATGCAAAGTAACAGTGCATGCGCACTGGTGGAAACAAAAAGGGCTGTTTTGAAAACTGTTAGTCAGGTGATATAACATGTACACGTGCAATGGGTATCGACTGTACAGATCAGTCGAAACATGGCCACGGTCAAATTGACGAACTGCACTGATGTGATGATTTATTTTAGCTTTGCAATGCCCAGTTTCTTTGCTACAAAACTGATGACTTAATCCACGCAGACCTACTACA